AATTTAAAAAAATTAATTTAATTATAAAATAAATAATCTAAATTATACTTATAAAATAAAAAGTAAGATAAAATTATAGAGATTAAAATTACAAGATTTTAATAATATTATAAAATATTAAAAAAAGAAAAAAATTAATAAATAGTAGAAATAAAAAATTATTAAAATTATAATATAGAAATTCAAAAATTTAAGATAAAAAGACAAAAAAATATACTTAAAAAATTATTAAAATTAAAATATAGAAATTCAAAAATTTTAAGTGAAAAGATAAAAATATACCTAAAAAATTATTAAAATTAAACTATTTTAGTTATTTTTTTATTCTTTACTAATTATCCCATTTGTTAATTAAGAAAATATTATTAAGATTATTTATTTTTCAAGACAAGGATATAATTGGAAAAAAATGACAATGAAAAACTGAAGAGGGTAAAATATAATTTGTTATTATATATTGTAATAGATAAAAAAATACAAGTAATATATAAAGAATGATATCGTAATTTCTGCAAAAGATATGTTGTAAAAATAGTCGTATAAATGAGTATTTATTTGCAATTAATAGTTATAAAGAACGATTGATGAAGAAGTAAAAATTAGGATTGTGTTTGGAAGTTTCTGGCGCATTACTATATATTTATTGTTCCTTCCCTCTGGTACACCGTCTCTGACCAACATCTCACACATGACTCAAGCGAAGACTATGAGCTTCGTGTGGACCCCACTCTTTAATGAACCTTCCCTTACTCTACCCATCGCACTTAACTTAAATTCATCCTCTCCTCGCTCCTCTCTCACATCTCTCCCACCACCACCCATGGAAACCACTCGCCAAAACGGACCAATATTATGTCGTTTTTTTCTTTATCTCTTCTTCTTTATGCTTCCGCTGGCGGCGGCGCAACCGGGAACGACCGACCAAAATGAATCTTCCTATTACAACCGCTTCAGCCCCTCCATGGCCATCATAATCGTCATCCTCATCGCGGCCTTGTTTCTCATGGGCTTCTTCTCCATCTACATCCGCCACTGCTCCGACTCCCCCTCCGCCAGCATCCGCAACCTCGCCGCCGCTGCCGGCAGG